TGTAGCTAATAAACATAGCTGAACTGATTTTGCATTGTCTTTTGGAGTTCCTTGGGCTAGGGCTGACATCAATCTTCCCAGACTGAAACCCCAGGTCCCAAGACAGCGGTTGGTTTGCAAAGTTGGAGGCCCGGGGAATGGGTGGCGTGCGGCTCCCTGCCTCCCCCGCCAGTTTAGCAAACTGAGGAGCTGCTGCAGATCTGCTCTTTGCGCTTTGCTCTGACACTGAGTGCTGGAGAACTCCTGTCTCCCAACGGCATGGTGCAGCCTTCGAAGGAGTGCCAATTCCCTCCTGGGGCGGCCGGGCTCTGCGCCTCCCTCTGCGGCCATCTGGAGCGGTAGCGCTGGGTTGCGGCAGCTGCCAAAAAAGAAATGCTCTCCCGGCCACCCGGCGCTTTGCTCTCCCAGCCCTGCCACTTGAGGTGAGAAGCCGCAGGGCATATCAGCGTATAACACACAGCTAGGATTTCAGCCCCAAATTTTAGGAAAAAAGTGCATGTTATACACTGATGAATATGGTGAATACATAAACTCATTCATAGCTGTTGGAAATCATACGGTAGTACTCTCCTTTTGAATTCTGTTTGTTCTTGGATTACATCCTGCCAGTTTCAGATTATATCATGTATGCATGTCCTGCCAGATTAAAAATGTGCTTCCAGATCATATGGATCTGACTCAAATTGAGATCATAGCACATTCCCATGGTTTATTTCAAAATGGGTTTATTGTTCATTTCATAATATATTCACAAAATTGTATTGAGTATCCAGTCTTCCGTTTGCAATCCTCCTGTGTTTTCTCTACTGCATCTTCATCTTTCTTCCCACTGTAGAAAATCTATTAAAAAGGTAAACACAAGATGAGTACACCATTTTTTAACTACTAGTGATAGGAATCCTCTACCTGGAACAATTATAGTGCTCAGCGATGAGTTTCTAACATGAGAAATGATATGGAGTTTCCATGCAAAGGTTATACCTTTTGTCTGCTACAGGACATAACCTTAACAGCTGCATGGTGCCAGTTGCCAACCACTGCTGATGCACAGATAGGAAGAAAAAGTTCCACCAGGTTTGCAATCTTGGAAAGACAGTCATTTCCTCCTTCCTGTACTTATGCATTGGGTAGAATATGCCCATCATGTACCTTGCCATTCACCAATAATTGGCTGAAAGGGTCTGTGATTTGCAGCTGGCAAGAAGAATGCAAAGGAGAAGTGGACTGGATGTAGCATGTAGTGGGAATCGCTTGCAATTTCGATGGGCATGGCCAAACTGAGGGGTGCATATATGGTTGATTGCATAACTATTTGCTCTATGTGAAAGAAAATACGGGGAGAAAAAAACTGTAGGTAGCTTATCTGCAGGCAGCATGTACAGTAGTATGCTGAAAGCATTTTCAGCAATAGAAAAAAAAATCTTTCTGAGTGGGAAGCAATTGCTGCTACCTAAAAAAAAAAAACTAATTCAGAAATGCAGACTTTTGATGTGGCTGTGATTAAGACGCTAATCTTAATCCAAAAAAAAAAAAGACTGAAACGAAAACAAGAACTGTCATTTAAAAAAAAGTTTGTTGTTTAATTGCTAAGGTATTAAAAATGCATACAGATGAATTCTATCATTGTTATCTGGATGGCGAATGGCTGAGTGAGTGTGAGGTATGTCAGCCCTGCCAGATAACCTAGTATTATTATGCCCATCTTGCAGGCAGGGAGAAGTGGTGTACAGTTTCCTGCAGAGTTATCCAGGACTGTTATTCAGGTGTCTGGTGTGCTTTTCTTTTTAAGGGAAATGCAGTGGGATAGCTGAAATGAACTGTAGTACAAAGCAAAGACTCCCTCGAGTTGAGCTCTGGTAACTACACGGACATACAGTATCCATGTAGTTTTCAAAGCATGGATACGGAAATAATTTGCCACTGCCTTGTTCTGTTTCTATTATCTATTTCCTAATCTAGCCTATGGCCATGGAATTTCCTGGTAGCTTCCCATCGTAGTATAGTCCAAGCCTATTTAGGTCTCTGACAGCTGATATACTAAGCTGCAGCAGAGTATTTTACTGAGGATTAGAGAAGTTGCTAGGGTAAATAGTGGCAGTGTTTAACAAGGCAGCAAATTTACTTCTCTTACCTCCTGGATGGGGCCTCTTCTCCCTTTGAGAAAATCTGGGTGTTGAAGAAATTTGGTGTGTGGCTGCTTAGAAGTTAGTATCTTGTCTCATGTGGTAAAGAACTCTATCCACAAATCTCTTGTGGGTCACCTAGAAGAAATTAGGTGAATTGACATTGCGTTGATAAAGGAAACCAAGGAAGTTATTTATTTCTTTATCAGATTTATGCTCTTCCTTTCCTCCCCAAACAATGTTCAAGGTAATTAGCAATTACTTAACTGCCTTTTAACTGATCAGAAACATCTCTGCCTAATCTGTATTGATCACCGATGCCTTTTTCTTCATCTCAGGCACAATTATCAATTGCTATTTTAGGATTTGGACAGGTTTTTTTGGCTTTCAGTTCCTGAGGATTTTAGCTACAGGTAGAAAAAAATATTGTCTGGATCCTGTGTTTACCCACTGAAAAAGTACACCTAGCAGGCGTATCCACGAGGTATAGTAAAAAAAAAGTTAAGTTGGTGGCCGCAACGGTGTGATCAAAGCTCCACCTGTTTTTTACATGTAATGTATATAAAAACAATTACAGCATTGTACCCACATCTTGACTTTTTTTTTTTTTTACCATACTACTGAGGATCCCCCAATTATATAGTACAGTACACTAATTTCTCAAGGTCACCTCTACCTATTTTGTAGACTTGCTGGCCAAGCTGCTAATTGCTAGTAATACTAGATATTGCAAAGCAGTTTTTTGAAACTGATTAGGTTTTTAGAATTATTATTAAATGGGCAACCACACACACACAGACACAAATACCTGCAGTTTCAGAAACAAGCATGCAATTCCAGTGTAAACATCATTAGTGTAATATAAAAGGTATGTGATGCAGAAGTTATATTAGGTTTGCTTAAAAAAGAAGTGACTGATCAACGAAGTGAGTGCCAGACAGTACCCAAAGATCCATTTCTCCTCACCCCTTTTGCAAAACAGCATTTGTGCTACATGGAGAATGTTTGCTAGTTTTTCCAAGATGAGCTGCATAGAACCTTTGCTTTGCACACAGCAAGTTCCAGTTTTAATCCCTGCAAAAGACTCCAGTCTCAGCCCTGCTGCCAGTCAGTGTAAACCAGTCTTCCCTTAATTATGTACTGTAGAAGACTAGGGTTAGGGGTACCATGTATGGGCTGTGAAAATGCAGACAGCCACTAGATGGCAACAAAGAACTAGACTGTTTGGCATCTCTTTGCTGCCATCTAGTGGTCACCTGGTATCTCTAACCAGCATTCCCCAAACAACTTAAAAATCTTCAGCAAGATACTAGCAGTCTTTTGGATGAAAATTCACAGAGAACATGAGCTTTATCCCTTGTTAAAAAGATGGATGCTGATATGTTCTTTGACCTTGAAAAATTTAAGAAATACTGTGGTAAGCCATATTAAGCTAGTTGTAGGTATCTGATTTGAGGTAATGTAGTAACTTCCTATTGGTAAAAAAAAAAATCCAACAGCACACAAACACACAACAAATAACAGAAGTAACATTGAGCAGCTGTGTGGTGGTGACTCATGCTACACACATCAATTACAGTATTATCCTATGTTGCAGCTTTGTTCCTTTACCCAGAAATACTGTTCTAGACACCCTATGAAACTGGTTATGTGGTTCTGATTCTTGATGGTCCATAAAACATAGATAACATAAAGGCAATAGAGAAAAAAAGATGGAGATTTAAATAAGAGACCCCTCCATAGTAATGGAATTACTCTAATGGTTGCCTAAAGATTCTCACAAGTAGAGAAGTACAATATTAGGATACGAAGTGAACAAGGGTGCTTCAGATCTGGCATGAGCATCCTTGCTTCTACTTGTCAGCTGTTCCTTAAAGTAGGTGGGTTTTTCCCTCGGGATGCACAGAAGTTCCCCACATTCAGGAAAACATGTTTCACTTAAGAAAGCCTTAAGGCAGTAACAGGAGACAACACGTGATCATATCCTATCACTGGCTCCTCAATGCCTCCTTAACCCAAACATGTCTTTTCCTAAGCCCAGGCAACGGTAACCACCCCCTCAACTTTCACTTCTTTGTATAATTGTGTATTGCACTAATGCTTACCGTTTCATAATTGTACATAGTATTCTATAAACTGATATTTTACTGTGATCCTTTCATTTGTTATTGGTTTAGTGGATCAGGGATTTGTATTTTTGTTGCTGTTAATCAAAACTTATTTTCTCTCACATTTTGCTCTCCAGCTTTTCTTCCCAACATGATCTCCAGGAGAACTGGTCAAATTGTGCTAGTCAGTAATATCCAGGGAAAATTGGGTGTTCCCTTTCGTGCAGCCTGTAAGTTTATGAATCTAACTTTTTTATTTCTGGGCAATTAGAAGAATATGAAACTTGGGGCCCTCCAAATGTTCTGAACTTATTAATTGGGCTAGTATAGCAAATGGCAAGGAACTGCAGTATTAGAGCCCAAAACACTTGGAGAACCCTGAATACATTTGAGCTTCCCTGGCTCCAGCTGTTATTCAGAGAAAGGCAAAAGCTTTAATTTCACCACGTAAGAGCAGCCCTCAGTTCTGCCACATGCTATCCTCAGAGTTCTTCCATATTTATCAGAAGATATACAGTAGATGGACCTGATCACTGAATCCATGTATTCCTCCATGTATTACAGACAAAATGCCATTGAACAGTCATTTCAGTCATCTGTGTGCCCACTTTGGATGAAGGCAACATGCAATTTGCCTGATTTTGATTAAGTATAGCTATAAGCTATAATTTAGGGTATGGTGCAAACTCAGTCAATTATGGCTTATTCAATGAACCCTGATTATACACATCATAGTGCGGCATGATGTGTGAACCTTGTCATTACCTTCTATTACTTTCTGTCCGAATTGCGACTTCATCTTTTAAGAAGTTCATAATAAACTGGTATCTGCTGATACTTTTGATTGTGTAGGTTATCAGATCATTTTGTTTTTTTGCTGAAATGACTTGGATGGATGGATTAAAGAATCAATAAAGGGCTTGTGGACAGCCTAATTAAGGTGCTGTCTGCAAGCCCAGCAGTAAAATATATCGGCTTAAATTGTGCTTCTCCCACTAATGAATCCAATTCTGCCACAGACTGGCAAATGTATTGTTCTTACTTAATGTAAGTTAAAATAAGAAAAGAGATTGGTAGATTCCCCTGGCTTCATTTTCCCTCCCATCCAATGTTACCCATTGATGGGAAAAAGAATCATTCTTCTTAATGTGGGATGGGGCAGAGTTTAATTATTGTAAGCAGATGCTTGGAACAGGAGGTTTAGCCATCTGTCAGACTATCCAGCTGACATCTGATGACACTGGGAAGGGCACCAGGTGAAGAAGGAGAAAGCTTTCATGAAGCTCCTGCTAAGTGCAGCACCTCCTCCAAACCTCTGGACCATCAGTTGGGCTATTTCTGAACATGCGTCTAACATTCCTCTAAACTCATTTTCAAAAATTGCCTAGCTGACAGGTCACAGGAGTAGAGGAGAGTGGGGTGCAGGAGGGAATAATTGGTGATGAGCATGCTGTATCATTATAGTGCTGCGAGGGAATGTCACTACTCTTGACAAGTGACCAAGAAGACCAGTATTGAGTTTGTGGCCAGCAGCCCCACAGAAGCAGCCAATGGGATATTGTGATTGGCCTGTGTATAACAACAGACATTACTATGACATCTAGTATTGCCCAAATGGAATGGAGCAGGCAAAACGCCATCATACTCCCCTCAAGTATTATAAATAACAGTAGTGAACTGCACAACCACTGGAATTGCTGCTGCAGTTCTGAAGACACTGAATGGTCAGATGATAGTTGTAGCACTTGTGTGGAGGTCCTCAAAAGTAAAAGTAGTAAATTTAGGAAAAGAATGACTACATGAACTAGTGATACCCAACTGGCAGAAGCCTGTTCTCTTTCCTGCTTTACACTGACCTTCTATGTGGCAGAGGGCTAGGACTTTTTTAGAGAGCACGATTTCTGTATTTTAAAACACAGGTTGAGCATTCTTTCAGAAAAGTGCTAAACCTGTGTTTTTAAGGATCCAGCATAAGACAAGTGCTAAGGCAAGCACTGGTTAGGCCTTATGGAGGCAGATGTTTTGCTGGAAGCCAAGTATCTGGCCTCTTCTGCAGCAGAAGCCGAAATGGACCTGGAGGGCAGTTTCCAGCAACTGGAGAAGGGGGAGCCTGCTTGAAGCAGCCTAAAGAATCCAGTAAGAACCAGGCAGATCCCAATTGCTTACTGTGTCAGCAACCTCATCACCAGTGAGCTGTGCCAGATTGTATCCAAGACAAAAATTGTTTCAGGAGACAAGAGAAAACACTACTTTGAAACTAGTACAGTAAAGGACAACATTAAGCTGCCTCAGATATGGGCTGGAGATGAGATGAAGATATGGCAGGAAAAAAAAAATTCCAAGGCATGTTCATGGCATATTAGAGGAAAGTGAGGAAACACCTAGAATAATGGCTTATATTTTATTTCTTTTCTTCGTATAGGGCTAGGTGACACTGAATCTGACCATTAGAAGAGCTAACATGGATGGATGGAAGGATGGATATATTATAATATCATATTATGTTCCTTACTTGAATCTCTCCCTCTCTCTGTTTTGCACCTAGATGCTGCTTCAAAGCATGCTGCTCTGGGTTTCTTTGATTGCCTGAGGGCAGAACTGCAGGAATTTGGTGTTTGTGTCAGTACTGTGACTCCAAGTTTTATACGTTCTGATCCTATTCAACTACAGCCTAAGAACTGGGAAGCCTCCACATGGAAATGTAAGTTGTTCACACTGGGATGAGCAACAGAACACAAGCAGAACTAAAAGATAAAAATGCCCAAGGCTGAAAAAAAAGATGACTTAGACAAATAACTTGTTGACAAAATTCAAAAGTCCCAGTCTTTTGAGACAAAGGCTTGGGATATATTTCCTCTAAAGAATCTAGTATTATCAAGCTTAGATGTTTCAGAACCATGACTGATGGTTTGTAATTGGAATGTAAGACAACACATTCAAATCCCTTTACTAGAAATATACTTTCTTTTTTCAAAAGTAGGGAATGTTAGTGTTAACTATCACCATTCATACATATTTTTTCTGTCCTATTAATGGATATGGGCAAACCAGTTATAAAGTACTTAGAAAAGGCATTACTACTTGCTCCTAGCCCAGTGAACAATACATTGACCACAAACAGCTATCATAACTATCAAAAAGTGAGTGTTTCTGACATCCTTGTGATAAATAATGCAGATCCCTTCCTAACATGGCCACTAGCCCTTTAAAGAAAAAATGAAATCCTGCCTTTAAAATGTAGAGTTAAAAGTAAAGGACAATATGTCCCTTGTTTTGCAATATTGGAGCAGTTTTTAGCATTTTTTTAAAAGTTTTGGGTCTCCTTTTTATCATGTAGTCTGCTAAAAGCAACAAACATTAACCTGGCTGACTATTCCCCCAGAGCAACATTTCATCATTTTAAGATTGCTTTCAGCATTATTCCTTATCTTTTTTCTTTGAGATAGCATCTCCCCTTCACTCTTCCAAAATGGTTTTTTTCTTTTTACTCCCCCCACAACTCAGTCCCAGGTAAATGGACTAAACTACCCATTGAGCTTCATGTTGTCTTGAAATGAGGTAAGACCTTGACACAGCAGCAAGGTACCTTTTTTAACATTTTGCTGTTTGCCCAATTCCCAGACTTCTTCAGAAAGCCAGCTTATGGTGTCCGCCCAATGGAGGTAGCAGAAGAAATTCTACGGACAGTGAGCAGAAAGAAGCAGGAGGTGTTTATGGCGAACCCCATTGCAAAGGCAGCCGTCTATACTCGCACTTTCCTCCCAGAATTATTTTTTGCTGTGGTTGCTGCTGGAGTGAAAGAAAAACAGAAAATCAAACTTGAAAACTGATTGCATCAAGCTCATCTTCCTTGGTAGAAGGGTTGTGCCAGTTCTCTCTTGCAGAGCTAGAGATAGGCACCATGGAAGAATATTGTACAAATCCAAGTGAAACAAAAATATGTTGTATTTGAGGATCTGGAGGCAGTGGAATAGGGTACGGTCTTTTCATCTATCATTAAAGTTGCACTGTGGGCTATGGGAGAGATCAAAGGACATTTTCCAGGGTGCCAAGTGAGTCATCAGAAATGGGCCCACGGACTCCCTGGAAACTGCCATTTCAAGAGAGTTAATAGAAAGTATGAGTTGTCTGGGTGTTGGGTGAAGTTCTCAGAGCAGCTGTGGAGGTCAAGAGAATTGTAAACTGATATTGAAAAAATGGGGAATCTCAGGAATCAGGGAGAATATGAGTGCTGGATGTATGGAAAAGAAATTGAGAGTATAGGAAGAGTGTGTGGTTCTGGTTTCATACCAGAGTGCTTGGATCTTAGAAGGTAAATTGGTTTGACATATAGGAAGTTCTCAAAGGAAACAGAAGAAGGTTTCCTAGCCTTTGCTTTTTTGTGTGATTAAGTGAACCTTTCAAATCTGTAGTAGTGCTTGGTTTTTATAGCTTTTAGTTACAAAGAATTAAGCAAACGCCTAGGGTGGAGATGAAACATTCAATGTTTCAAAATGTTGCAAGGGTTCCATTCCACATTGGTACATATGTCCAGTTTTGGGCAACTGAATAACCTTTAAAAGACAAACGTTTGCAAGATGGTGGTGGGGAGCATATGATGAAATGTGTATCATGATGTTATGATGCACATCCTCATGGCTTACCTGCTAGTGTGAGACATCAGGACACAAATATGTAAGGATGAAGTATATATCATAATGTCACCATGTGTGCTGTCATTTTTACACAACCCTGGCTTGCTGCTGACAACTGACCAGCACTGGCAGATGCATGCCTTTGATAAATATTGGCACTGATCCTCTCACACTGCCTCCTTTTCCCCATGCAATGCTACAGCTTCACAGAAGTCTCAGAATTTAAAGGACATCACAGCTCTAAACACAGAAGTAATTGTTTTCCTTAACATTTTAAGCTTCGCTGTGCCATTATAGTGATAGTACAGAGGCGGCAGCAGGGCTCAAATTACTGAAGGAAAGTACTCCACCTTAAATTTGGAATTAGAGACGGGGATCACAAATTTTAAGTGTTCTCTAACTTTTCCCACCATAATAGACTGTGAGTGGATTACTCTGATAAGACTAGCTATAGTAGGATTCAGTACTTAGCTAAACCTCCATTATCTATATTCCCTGGTTATGGCTACCAGGTGATACGAACTTTTATCAATCAGATGGTCAAGCTATACAGTTACTTGGGCTTTAAATTCTAGAGCGATATTTGTTGTGATGCACCTCCAGTCAGGCCACCACATCTGGACTGCAAAAAATCAAGATGAGCTCTAGAAAGTCACAAAGTGTTAGTGTTCGCTGTACGTCTTTGTTGCCATCTAGTGGTTATTTGAATTTTTGGAGCCCAAACTAGGGTACTCCTGCAGTGTACAGTGTAATGTGTTCTGGGGGTCGTTCAACATGCATTTGTCCTTAAAGCAGCTCTTCTCTACCTAAGTGTTTCTCAGTCTGCTGTTTCCCCTCCCCCCACACACATACACACAGGTCAAACTACAACTCTTGTCATTCCCAGTCAGTGTGATAAGTGATAGTATTAGCCAGGAGTGATAAGTGTGATCGTGCAGGGTCTAAAGTTAGGAGAAGGCTGAGGCTGAGAAGTGAAGGCAGACAAGCGGAGTTGAGAGTTTTATAGAGAGAGGCTACGTTTTCTGGCACTAAACTGGAGAAAATTAGCACTAGCTTGGTTCAACTGTTTTATGTAGCAACTGTATGGGAGGTTCATCTGGAGGGCACCAGGTTGGGAAAGGTGATCTGCCCATCACAGAAGGAAGAGTGTTTATATTCTTACTATATGAATATGGTTTGTAGAAAGACTGTGCACACCTCTATGAGTGTGGAGATGTCCATTATTAGTGAAAAAGAATGTGAAGTAAATAGGAGAGAGTGTACTCTTTGTGAAAGTGTTGTTAATGTGCCTTATGAGAGGAGGTGGGGACTGAACTGAAAGATGGCTGCTGTTAGGTCTTTATTTGTTGCAACATTTTGTAACGTTGGTTCCCCAATATTGCGCACTAGGGAGATGTGTTCTTGTTCCAGGTATAGGGGAGGGGAACAAGCTCTAAAATCTTCCTGGACTCCACTGCCTGTCTCTTTATTTCTCTCCCAATCACCACCTGACATTTTGTTATTCTCATCAATAAAAGCAATTTATACTTCTGAGAACACATTCACTGATTTAGAAACAGCCATGAGGGAAACATTGGATTAACATACTTGACAAGAAGATAGAAGTTGTGATCCCTTTTCTTCCAGATGTCAGGGCCAACAACCTTGCCTTGAGGTGACATAAATAAAGCTCCTGTTTGAACGATGTCCAGTAGTTCATTTTCTTGTCCTCTGCTAAAGGTTGCATTTCTGCCATTGTCAGGCAAATGTGGCCACTTCTAGTACAGTGTCTCAGGGGTGTTTTCATTTACTCTTCCTCTTTTAAACTGAGTGGTTCCCAAAATAGCAAAGAAAGCAGCTAAAGTTGGAGCTAACCTAAGCTCGAAAGGACAGCCATTCCAGAAGGCTGGCACTGCCAAAGAAAATCAGTGCCTCTGAGACTCAGCCCCCCACAATTCCTAGGCATGGAGAACCATCAGCTGCAAAATCAAATTGGTTGGGCTAATTCTAGTGGACAAATATAGTACTGAAGGTAACTTGGTGCCAAGCCATAAAGGGCTTTATAGATTAACATAAGCATTTTAAATTGTACCTGGAAGCCTAAGGAAAGCCAGTGCAGGGCTTGTAGGTGTAACATGTTCCCACTGGTGAGCACAACATGGGCTGCTGCATTTTGAACCAATTGAAGCTTCCAAGTGATTTTTAAAGGCAGCCCCGTGTAGAGGGCATTGCAGCAGTCTAAGTGAGTTGTAAAGAAGGCATGGGTCACTGTACCTAGGATCTCAACTGGAGCTGGGTGAGGTCCTCCTTAACCATGGCTTCTACCTGTTGTTTCAGCAAGAACTACAATTCAGATAGATCCCCAAGTCACTGCTCCTTCATGGGTAGTGCTACGTTATCTAGAGACACCACTGGAGCTACCCAAGAATCATGATGGAAAAACTGTAACTCCATTTTAGTAGGACTTAATTTTAGACTGTATTCTCACATCCAGACCTTCACAACTTCTCGGCACCAGGGCAAGACTCAACAGTATAGCCGTATGGCTGAAGTAGAGATGTAAAGCTGAGTATCACCAGTATATTAAAACAGTAGTGGGGAGAGGACCAATCTCTGCAGCACCCACAAGGGAACAGCCATCAAGCCAACATCTCCTCTCCTACCATATAATCCTGGTAATATCAAGATTTGTGTCTGCTATTAAATACCTTCTAAAATCTGACAAAATTGCTAAATAATTCTAGAGAACAATGTATAAACTGATCCTGAGGTTCAGAATAAGTGCCTGACTTACACTTAATTCATCAATTCACACAATACAGCGTAGCTATATTCAACAGTGTCCAAAGATCTAGCTATCCCATCTCAAAAACTATACCATAATACCTGAAAATCAGAAAAAGGAAGAGACAAATTTTCTAAGACAAAAGACAAATGCACTGGGGGCCTTTTAGTTTAGGTGAAACATGCATAGACACAAGATGAGAAAATTTCCCTCTCTATTCTGGGCAGAATTAAGTAGATTTTTCCAACTTCCTATCTACAAGCAGGTCTCCAGTGTATGGTTAGTAGCCGAAATTAATTATTTGAGGAAATAATGCCTGAATTATGTTGAAAGAAGGCATGATTAAGGTTGTATAGTATGGAGACAGTGGATAAAAATAATTTTTGTTTCTCTCATAACATTAGAGTTTTGTCATCTGCACTTTCATCCAATTATGCCAAGCAGGATAAATGTTCTTCTTTTTGTTGAATTGGAACAATATCTAAACCTAGATTGTAATTTGGATCCCAAGTTGAAGAAGGGAAGAGTTCCAAATAATCCATGATGAACTGAGTTATTTTCTGAATCACTAAACATAGAGAGAAATCAAATCTAGTGTTCTGTATATACCCCTACAAGAGGATATCAGGCATAGATCTGAAAAACTTGTAATAAAGTTCTCAAAACTTCCAATGCCTTTTAGCCACAGTGCTTGGTGAAGAATACAAATGCTATGAAACCTAAGAGACAGTGCAACAAATAAACAGAGAATGAGTATGTGTTTAAACAAAAAGGAAAATGGAAAAAAAAAGGATACATATTTCACTGATTTTGTTTATGTATCTCATCGTCTGCTCTAAAAAATCTTCACTAAAAACAAGATGAATGTTTAAAAGGGAATAGAATAAAACTGATATAATGCTGCTTTCCAAAAAGTAATCCAAAAGAAATTCAAAGAAGGAAAAAAGAGAACATTATCATATTATTACTCTTTCTAGTTCCCATATATCTAAAAATGTACTGTTTTTATCACAAACAGCAACCTTCAAACTCTTTTTAATCAACTCATTTCCAATCTGCTGTCCTGCTCATCCAGATGATTTTGTTGAAATTTAGTGAAATTCCTGCACAAATGTGGCGGCCAAAGGGCAGAATATCAACCCAGTTTCAGCATGGTTTTAAGATCAGAAAGACAAACACTCCCATCCCCTCTTAAAACTCTTGAGGAGCCATAAACCAATCCCCCAAATGGTGGTATTACAGCATTACTGAATGGGCTTCCATAATCCTTCAGAAGGTGTAGCTCCCAACCGAACATTGCCCTTCCCTGGATCTCCGAGAGACAGTTGAATGGATGAACAATACCCTAGACTGTTGTGTGGGCAAATCCTTACTGAAAGCAGTGTCATGCTGTAAGCCAGTGGCTCTTAAACTGGGGGTAATTACCTCAAAGGGGGTGATTTGGGCATATTCTGGGGTTAATGGAGCAATTTGTAATTGCTTGCTTGTGAGTCGAGGATCCAGTGTGGGACTGCAGCTGCTGAGACAGCAGAGTCTGTGTGTGTGTGTGTTTTCGTGTGAGTAATTATATTATTTGAGACTGGGAAAAGGAGTAATTGGGACAAACAGTTTAAGAACCACTGCTGTAAGCTCTGCCCCTTTTGCACTTGTTTTGTGATGTCACACATACAAAAAGACAATGGCATTGTCATTTTGACAAAAACCTCTAGCCCTGCAGATGCCTTTGGCTGGGAAAGTCTCTACAAGGCTGTCTCCCAGCAACTATTGTCTACATCTGTCAGACAGGTTTATCCCATCAGTCTTTGTTGAACCTTGCTTTTTATTCCCCTGCTAACAGAAAGAATTACCAGCATGTGCTCTATTGAGCAAAAGATGACTGGGAGAAAGCAGAGGCCTGAGGTAAGCCAAAAAGCAGGCCTCTTTCCCAGGCACCGCCCCCTTTCTTCCTCACTGTAACAGAAGATGTCTAACTGAATTCACACGACATGCTAACCTTGTCAGTTTCAAACTCAGCAGCTCCATTCACATGACATATTAAACTTGGCAAGTTTAATTCTGGTTGCTGGCTTACTGTGTTATGTGAACCCCATACTGATTAACTACTATATAAATCCTTCTCACAGGTCGTGGGGTTACACAGTTTTCTGTGAGAAACATAGTCACATTGGAAGGATATAGAGAAGATAAGTATTGCCCCCATGTCTAGACAATACACAAATCTGTGACCTTTCTGCATTGCTGAGTCCTTCCACTAGGTGAAGGACTAAGGCCTAAGGGGAAAGAGAAAGTAAAAGAGCTTCTGTGTTGGGGGGGGGTCTAAGAAGTGAGTGTCCTGTGGGGGTAGCAACCTGACGATCGATTCCGTTAGGTTCTTCCTGCTGGGAAAGAGTAAGAGATTGTTTGTAGAATTTGTTTCCTCCAAAACAAAACACCTTTTCAAGCGTGTTTTCAAAAGAGAGCTCAGGCTGTCCTTCTCCACTGAGTGTGGGAAGCAAGGTGCAGAGAAGCCACAAGCAAGTAGAAAGCAATTGGGAGAGGGCATGAAAAGATTGGGAGAGGTCCTGCCATTGAGGCAGACCAATGGTGCCCGATGGCCAAGTTGTGACTTTGTACTTATTTGTACTTCTTTTCCTTTCTTTTCTATTTTTTTCCTCTTTTTTCCTTTCTTCCACTTTGAGCTTTCTTTCTGATTTTTTTCCCTTTCTTTTCTTCTTATATTAGTTTGTATCTTCTTTTAAAAAACTTTTAATATAATTATATGAAAAATGGTGACGATGATGATGATAATGATGATGATGATTATGATAATGGTTGATCGCACAGTCAGCCAGATGTTTAGACTGGATTTGCCATTTTTATCCCAGGTCCTTGGGAAGGGCTCAATAGGTGGACAAAAATGCCAAATCCAGTCTAAACATCTGGCTGACTGTGTGACCAGTCATAATAATGTCATTTGCTCCTAGGTTGCATTTGCAACTGTCTTCCGCGTTATTTATGAATTGCATTAGATTCCTCTAGCCACTTCTCATTAAATTCAGTCTTCTGCTTTGCCCTAGGGACTGGAGAGGCTGTTTTTAGAATGGAAGAAGTTTGGTATAAGTAAGAAATTCGATTTTTTTGAGTTGAAATAAGATCAGCCTAATCTGAAAACCGCCGGGAGAAGGACGCTACAGGGTAATTTGCAACCGGAATAAGTATGGACGATCGGAAAATTTTGCATCGTGGTTCCATGGTGTAATGGTTAGCACTCTGGACTCTGAATCCAGCGATCCGAGTTCAAATCTCGGTGGAACCTGTCGGGTGGATATTTTTGAAGTAGTTCTGGATTCTATTTTATGGAGGGAAGAAAAAAAGGAAGAATTAAGAAAAAATATATCTGAAATCGAATGTCAGGACAAAGGACAATATGCCTTCATTTTGACTTTTCCATAATGGAAATATTCGAAAAAACATGGTGTATCCCCGTCGTTTGTTTAAAGGGATTTTGATTTATGCTTTTTAGAAGAAAGGGAATGGTTTTTCCATGTAATATCTCAAAGTTTTGTTGCTCGATCGAAAGCTTATGAATGTGAAAATGCTTTCTCGTACAAAATGCAACAGAGCGGAAAGCAGCCCAGATTTCAAGGGGAACGAGAAGGACGTGCTAATGGAGGACTTTTCCAAAACACCGCTCACCTCGTGGTTCTATGGTGTAATGGTTAGCACTCTGGACTTTGAATCCAGCGATCCGAGTTCAAATCTCGGTAGAACCTAAGCGTAAAGTGGGGTGTTTTAAAAAAGCGGTTTTCTTTTTAGATGACAGTTATTACTTGAGAATATGGAAATGTGCCTTTTAAAAGACCATTGCGAAAAACGTACTATCTTAGAGGGTTCGGTTATCTGCTAGCCACCGCTTCCCTTGTTAAATTAAAGGCAATGTCATTGCTGGGTGCTAAAAGTATAAACTACGCGCAGCCGGGGTCTCATGAAAACTATCCAGCGGGGAAATTTGCTCTGATATCGATTCAGGATTGGCTTTCGGCAGACAAAAATCTGAAGGGTAACCTGATTTCCTCCGGACTTCTTGGCTGCTTGATTTTCACAGGACAGGGATTTTCACGAGGCGAGCAACGATCTTCTGCTCGCGCGATGGCGCCTTAAAAGAAGCAGGTCCGGCGTAACGCCCTCGCCGCAGGAATCCTCGTGATGAAACCTGCGGTTAGGAAGTAGATGTGTGTATGCTATTAAGAACGATTTGGAAATCTTCTGATATAACTGTAATTATGAGCAGGATTAGGGTGGATTTAAAAAAAAAACCTTGTTTTCTTTAAAATGTTTCTTTAGTGCAAGGAGAAACTTGCACTCGGCTAAAGTGATGACTGAGCAGAGACCACCGGGAAGGAAAGATACGCGTCTCTGTTAACCTTCTCCAGAGACAATCCGTTGATGTGGAATTAATTCAAGCTTGGGAAGCTTGACTAAGCTTCTGCCTTTAACTCCCAGAAACTGGGCTAGTTGCTTACTGGTCAAGAGCACCCATATGAATAGTAGCAGCCCAAACTTGACCAAAATGCAGCCCGGATTTCTTTCGCTGGCACCTCTGTTAAGGAGCCCACTTAATGAGCTGGTCAGAGAGAGGAAGGGTTGCACTGGATCTCTGGATTTTCCTGCTAAATTGAAAGGAAAACTCTAGTAATCGTGAGGTTCAGATATTAGATCTCATCTGTGTGTACGTGTCTACAGGGGAGTGTCAAAAAAAATCGGCATGGTGTCCATAATGGCGTGATGTGATCTAAGCTCCATCTGTGTTTTATGTGCATTGACCATGCCACTGTTTCTCAACCGTGGCAACTTTAAGATGTGTGGATTTCAGCTCCCAGAATTGGTGGGTAGAGGACCCTTGCCGACTATGCCCATTCACACAAGAGCCACCAAGGTTGATGGTTGCAGCAGTGATGCCATTTAGAGGAACTTGCGTGGTGGTGGTGGTTTTGGGGGGGCTTGAAGGCACAAACGGCATTAGGGAGGCTCTTTAAGGGGGGCTGTCCAGTGACCCCTGCTCAAGATTTCAAAGACCTACAGCCAAGTCTGCTAACTTATTATGGTTGTACCCATGTAGACTTGAATACACTACAATGGAGTCGTTTATTTATTCATTTATTTATGAAATGTATACATTGCTGCAATCCAGCTGGACTCTAAGTGGTTTACACATTTTTTAAAAAGTTGGTGGTAAACTATGTTTTAAACTTTTTGGTTTTCCTTTAAAAGCTCATATACACATGCATCAAAAAATCAATGGTCCCCAAACAATATTCAAATGAGAAGTAAAGCACTATGGCACGGATGGAGCTCTGTTGAAACATTACCAGTTCCTAGGAAAGGACAGGCAGTGGTTGTTTCACAGGAGTGGGCAATCTGTAGCCCTGCAAATGTTGCTGAACTACAAACTACATCTGTGGCCACACTGGGGGAGGCTGTTGGAAGTTGTAGCTCAGCAACATATGGCGGGACACCAGGTCCATCAAGGAACTCATAGACTGTCTCACAGATGAAAACTTTCAGCTTTTAAGCACCCTATGATAAAACTAAAAAGTGGCAACATAGAAAAATCTTGAGACTTTTTTAAAAATAAAATTAGGAAATGCCTAAATATGAGTCACCATTTAAGCTGAAGGTGAAGCTAAATGGTCCTCCAAGCATTCTTCCCCCAACTGCCTCTATTCATTCATTTACTTCTAGCATAGATCTATCTATTAATTTCCAGAAAACGACAGGATATGTCTACTGGGGACAGTTCAGTACTCATGTCTTCCACAAAGGTGTCATCACAGCAAATTAGGAACAGTGGTTGTAATCGATCAAATCCACAGGTGACAAATGATAAATATTTTTAATAGACTGTAATCTTGAACTTAAATATTTTGTAATAATGCAATGATCAGAAAAAGAACTATTTCAAGTAAGTTCCAATCTAAAATAAGAATATGCTTCCAATGCTTCTGATCTAGATGAACTTAATTTAAGAAGCTCTCTCTTTACGAGTATTTGCTGACAATTGTGTAAACCATTATGGTTAATAGGATTATGGTGTAAATAACTGATATGTGTAACAGATTTTGTAGTCATGACCTCCTACAGCTCATACTTTGCTTAGCCAAAGATCCAGCATATTGACAACATTTCATATCTATGGACTTTTTTTCATGAGTGTTGATATCTTTTTGAGATGCAAAAAGGGATGACGCCATCCATTTTTTCCATCACAGAAAGCCATCATGTTCATGTCCTGCACAGGAAACAAGCTTTGTCCAGCATGTACCATTTCCTATCAGGAAAAACTTGAATCTTTGGGAATTACTCTGTACTATCTTTGTTGGGTAACTAGATACCCTGCAATGAGGGCAGAAAGATCCAAATAACCCTAGGAGGTGAGGCTTTTAAATTCATCTGTTGTTTCTGTGGTGGCTGATCAACCAGGGCAAGGGGCAAAATTGGCAGACTGCAGTGCCATGAAAGTGACATACAATAACAATTTGCTTGATCAGTGATAGGACTTTTCTATAACTCTTGATTTACACTGAACAGCTCCATTTTGGCACCAAAAAGCATTTTGTTGTCCAACCATAGCAAAACACAGTATATGGTAACTCATGCTGGCAGAGAAGTTTGAACACTGGTCCTGTTTATTTAAAAATCTTTATGGATATGCATATTTTTCAAAGCCTACCATGCATGTACATTACAAGCAATTAAAATATGTGTAACACCAAGTTAAATTATGTCATAAGGGCTGTGCATGCTTTGAAAATGATCCAGAGAACATGCTTTAGACTTTGCATGAGCATAGCACTTCTCTACTATTTATTAAAGCAGCCATGTCTTTACTCAGGTTTCTAAATGAGCCTGAAAAAAAGATGCATTAAACCAATTGCACTATTAAAAAGATTCTTAAAAGACCCACAATTTTTTTTGGCTCATGCAAAAGCCTGCATTAGTGATATGGCTATTTTAATGAATAGCAGGGAGATGCTGAACTTTTACAAGTTCCAAAACATTTATTCTGAACTACTGTCAGAGTGTATATAGCCCTAGTATTTAACATAAGATGTTGTCCATTTGTATACACAAACACTGAAGAACAGAATAAAAAAGCTAGAATTGAAAAAAATGTCCAGGGCAACTCAATGAACCACCCTCCCTCCCCCAATTAAAATAAATTACATTGAAGATACTGAAAACTGTGCTTCTATGCTTTTGCCTTGCTTCAGAGATTTAGGCACCCTTGGGTACATTCATACAAAATTTCCTTTTCAATTGCATAACTGGGAATGTATACCTAGAAAAGACCAACATCTTTCACGCCCAGAAGAATGTTCTTGTGATAAAAAACAAAGCTAACTGTGTAATGTGGAGGCCCATCTTTGATACCTTAATGGGCTGACGTACTGGGACACCAAACACTCTAAAAAAGTAACATCAGAATGTACTTTTTTATTTGAATGCAGCACCACGCCCACACATACTTCAGCTATTTTAAATTCCTTTCCTCCATGCAGATATGTTTTAGTACGTATTTTTACTCTGGTATCCATTTTATGTTACTTTTTTCTCATTACAAAGACATGATTAATTCAGGCATGCAGTTTTGTAGCCCAATCCCTATGTACAGTACATAAAATGCACCTCCTCTACCTATTACCTCTATGCCAAAAAGCAACTCTCTTTATGATCACTTGATTTCCTATATCTCTTTACTATTCAGCTACTCCTGGGTAAAAATCCAATGCCTTTGTTGGGAGCTGGGATACTACTGAACCTCTAAAACTGAAGGTTAGGTTTTCAAACGGACAACATACAAGTCTTGATACCCCAATTGTATGTATTCATATAATGGTAATTTAAGAACACTCAAGAATTTGGGATTCTCAGTGAAATCACATCCAAGCTTACCCATGTTAAGGTAAGAAAAGTCTAATGAAAAAGAAAACATGGGACAGGCCAAAGCCAGCAGAGTTTAAAAGCATTTGACAAAACAAAAGAGCAACACAATGGAACAAAAGAATCACCAATCTTTGTGGCACTGTTTTTCTTCCTGAGCAGAGCATTCAAGAGGATATTCTTGTATATTTGTGGTTTGAGAGAGATGCGATTCAGAATAGGGGAAAAATGGATTAACATTACAATGTTGAGGCATAAGAACTGCTGATCATTCCTTTCACTGAGCATGTACTGAACATTCATGCGTCCCAATATTGTGTAGACAGCTCTTAAAATACAATCCTATGATGTCTACTAGAAATTCTGAGTTCACTGAGAATTGCTCCCAGGGAGAGCAATCTTCTTGGCCAAGTGCTGCATGAACTACTAGGGTATGATATCACATGCTGATGACACACACACACACATTCAGCATATGATCAGTGGAGAGAAGTCTTATCCTTGTTCCCCTTCTAGCAATTCTGCTCCAAAGTGCTGATTTCTTCCAATGTCATTGGCAGTGTGATGCCGGAGTAAGATGAGATTAACATCTGGTCTTTGCCTGCTCCAGCACAGAGTGACCAGTTGTGAATGGAACTCTCCATAAGTGATGAACAGAACTGCAACCTCCACATGTTAAGGCATCTCTCTCGTATCTACTTTCTTTAGAGAGATTATCAGTGACTGATCTGCACAGACTCTGCTATCAGGATTAAAATCCAACAAGTCCCAGAAAGCCCTAAAAATTAATGAGCGTTTCTAGGAAGGAGTCACTGAATCATCCTTTCTTAAAACATCACACAGAACTTCAACATTAGGCAGACTTAAAGTATTATGATACATCTACTTCTTAAATCAGGTCAACCCTCTGTTTCAAATATTCTGGCTTTATCATGTTCGTCTCCATCTTTATTCTAGCTTCTCTTCTGTACATTGGACTTAGTGATCTATCTGGACTTGCTGCTGCCTTACAGTACTCTTTGCCTACTCAAGATTCACCAATTCACCCAGCACTGTTGCTGATGACGCAGATCTCCCAAATATACTCTTGAACCTAGAGGATTTTACCAAGTTGTCTTAAGGGCCAGGGTCCCAACATTCAAGCAATGCCAGTAGTAGGAGCAAAGGACCCTGTTCTCAGAGGAGTTGAATAAGCTAAATAAAGCTGACTGAATGAGCATTCATTTCCAGCAGAGGGCGATGTTCCTACTGTTCTCTCAAACTAATTCAAGCTCACAGGCATTCTACCATAATTAAGAAAATAGGCCTGATATTGTAGACACTACATGGCGAGTAGGTGGCTTTTATCATATTTTGGTGGCTTACTATGTTTGGTAATAATATGAAGTCTTAAATAAGTAATACACTTTAACATGACATCATTCTGAGCACATCCATGGCACTGGATTCTTGGCACACAGGCCTTGAGTACCTAAGGGTCAGCAGTGAAGCACTTTGTAGCATGCCCTGATTTTCTTTCCAGTATACCTTAACAGGAAACAGTGGGACACTCACTGTTTCCTAAAAGATGATCAGGTTAAGGTTATGATTAAATAATGATTCACCACATTTACACTGAGGCCAGCTGCATTTTGACTCTGCACAACCCCAGTGGGGGAACAAGAGCAGTTCCAGTTCTGAGCACGCTTCACTTTTTGTGCCTCCAATCTCAGTTGCATAGCATAGTTGTCCCACTGCTGCAGGTCCATCAACCCTGATGCAGGTCTTATAATCTGACTGGTCACCATTTGATATCGTAATTGTTGGCAGCTGGTTTTTCCATGCTGTATTTAGTATGCAATGATTCCTGGGCTTTAATGGAGTCCACCCCCTCTAGCCATTCCTGATAAAGCTTCTGCACATGCCCATTGGTTTCAGGAACCTGGACAGGAACTGTGGCGTATACATCCTCCATTTGCTTGAGCAGGGCTTTATCTGGTTTTCCATCTTCAGTCTGGGCTTGACCATTTCCATTTAAACAACCTGAGAATCCGTGGCCAAAACAAGAGAAAAAATTAGTTTACTTAAACAGAGAAAATCATTGAGTGGGGTTATCCCCCATGATCCTGTATGGTCTATATGCATGTGACCTTTACATCTCCACATTCATTTACCTTGCCTCTGACCTCCCTGGATGTCCACATGAATATCATGAACAAACAGAGTCTCCCCACCTAAAATCTGGTGTGTGCAGTTCCGGACTGTGCTGTTGTTAATTTCTAAAATCTATAAATCAACCGCATGTTATATGTGCCCTGAATTTTATGCCATATCTAATTAAACATGACATCTTCACACAGTGTTTGAGGAAGGACAAGTGTACTAGGTAAGATGGGTAAGGAGAGCATGCTTTCATTCTCTACCATGTATAGATACAATTCAGCCTCTTAAGGTTTTAACACCAACCCTGTTCAGTCATTCTCACCTGGATGTGGAAGGGGTAAACCAGTCTGTGATTGCTGATAAAATAAAGTAGGATGCACAGTTGCAACAAAGGGTTCTTCTCAAATTCAGATGTATCCTCTTCAGACCTTAAGGCTGCAAAATTTAAACCTGAAGGGGCAGGGCTGTCTGAGCATTGTAGTCCGATGACTCTGTGAACTGGACTGGCATAACACATTCTTGGAGACACTAAGCTTTATTAAATGCAGAATGGCACTGATTCCGTATTAGCAGCAGTGCACTACGTAAAGAAAGTTTCCTATCTTGATTTCCTTCCTTTACCCTTATCTGTCTATTCTTTCCCACAAGACCATTCTCTTTTTCACTTTTCCAGCATCATTTGCTGGAAGCCCAGTAACTTTTACATGGAAATTCAATCCTGGAATATAATAAGATCCTCTAAAAAGAAGCTATAAGAAGTCTGTGTCAAGGTGATGAGTTCACTGAATTGTGCCATGCTAAAAAATCAATGCAAGACAAAGAGCAAAAACATAATAATGTACACAAATAGTAATGACAGCGGCTGAATTATGGTGATGGTTATTTATTCATTCATCATATTTATATAGCTGCCCATCTCACAATCAAGTGACTCTATGATGTATGACTCGATGTTATGTATAAAGCCAGACCTGAGCATTTCAGAATGGAGGTGTTAATATGATTAGAAATGGGGCAGTATGATGAGGGTATAAACCAAACTTTGGAGAAATGGGGGGAAGAAAAAACCTTTACTTGTAAACCAAACAAAGAAGTCTTTCTCCCCTCCCTTTCCCCCAAACCAGCTCAGTGAGGACTGAAGATGCTCAGTGACCCCAGAATACTGAACATCGCTGGGGGTGGGGGGGAGGTGGGAAATGTTATAGAACTGCCTTCCTCAGCCTGTCGCTGCCATCAGATACATTAGACTGCAACTCCCACTGACCACACTGGCTGGTGATGTTAGGCGTTATAGCCCAACGCATCCAGATGGCACCAGGTTGGGAAAGGCTGCACTGGAATATTCTGAAAAAGACATGGCCAGTTAGAGCCCTGGATAGGAACACTCTACACAGAGTATTTTACTGAAGGACATGTATGTATAATAAAGCTGCTTTTGTGGAGAAGGGGGGGAATGGATCATCTCAGTTATCTGGAGTCAGCACTGGCAACATCAGAGGGATTAATTATGCCTCCAGCCTTTTAATTGTACTGGGAGATGCAGAAGAAGTCTCAGGTTTAGTGGTTACCTCCAGGACAGGCTAAAACTTCCACGAAGTGGTAAGAACATTTCCCCTTTTTCAACTTCAGAATCATATTCTGGATGTTTCGAAAGCCATACGCTGCTGCAAAACGTAGCACTGTCTCGCCATCCTTTTCTAGGGTAACCTCTTGGAAGTCTTTGTTTCTGAAAAGACAGGGAGAAAAGATTTCTGGCTGGTCCTCCACAAAGCGAGCGAGCGAAGGGATAGGAATAGGATTTTCTATTTCAGCCTCTGTACCCGTTGGCCAGAAATGCTTTCCACCAATTCTGTCTGCTGGTATAAAGCCACCTTTTGTTGCTCATTTTTGGATGAAATATAATCACGCTCTCCAAACTGCTTCAAGATTTTTTTGGAAAGCAATATACAAAAGTTAAAAATACATATAAACATAGATACAGGGTTTGGGGGGTATTTTTACTGATTTAGGACTTCCTATTGATGGCTGATGCCCTCAGTAGCTGAGCTGGTAAAATAACGTGTAGTTGTTCTCTGAAAAAACAGGGAATGCCGGCAGTGCAGTGATACCAATTCTTTACTGCCTGGCCCTGCACTGGTTCTTGGTGCTCCTTTCAGCTTAATCCAAGGTGCTGTTTTTATACGTTCTTATGCAAATGAAACGTTCTACCTTTTTCCCAAATAGAAACTTGACCGTGGCTTTATTATGATTGATTTTACTATGATTAATTTTATTTATATAAATCTAGTCTTCCTAAAGAGAAGCTAATAACTGACCTTAAAGAGCATTTGCAGTCTTGGTCTTTTATAGCAAGGAACAGACTTTGTCTCTCTAATTCAGCGCAGTTTTACCATCCAGGCAAAGAGGCCAGGCTCCGAAGGCGCAGAAAATGGCCTTCTGGGCTGGCTTCCTGTTTGGAAAGCCTATTCGTGAAAGCCTCTACAGCTCGAGGGTCACAGCCTTCCAAGGCTCATAGGACCTCTTAAACATTGATTTAGAGAACAGAAATAAGCAATGGTTGATAAACAGTTGCATGCTTTCTGCACAGTGTTTTATAAACAATCTAATACTGACCCTGGAACCATGAAGTGAAGGCTTGTATACAAAACAAACATGTAAATAAGGTTGGTCAAGGCCACAGGAAAATTTTATTGCCAACAAAGCTGCCTAGCTGGTTTTGATTTTATTTAAGCTGCTAGATCAGGAAATGAAAACCATGGTCTTTTCCCATCTAAACTTTAGCTTAAACCAGCGTTTCTCAAAGTGTGGTCTGAAGACCCTTGGGGGTCTCCCAAGACCTCTCAGGGACCTGTGAAATCAAAAGTATTTGCTAGATATTAAAGATATTTGCAAAAATTTAAAACAATATCACTCTTTTCATTATTTTTTTTTACTTGTTAAAAATATATGGGGGGTTTTCATGGAAAATATTTTATTTATGTTAATATCTAATAGGTTTAATATTGTTATTTTTACACGATTCAATAAAGAAATATTCTACAAATGCATCAATTTTAATTTTTAATATGATAAATACTGACAAATATAACTCATACAAATAAAAGCTCTTTTGGGGTCCTCCATAATTTTTAAAAGTGGGAAGGGATCTTGAGAGCAAAATCTCACTGGCCAACACCTTTTTCCAAGGGTTCCCTAGGAAGAACTAATTATGAGAGGCTGCCACCATGCAGACTTAATTTCTGACATATCTTTGGTTGGCTGGCTGGCTGCCTGGGGAGTTTTAAATTCTTCTGCTAAGAGGTTCTCCTTTCTGTCCAGCTCTAGGAAAAACAGAAAGGTGCTTCAGATCTCTTTGCCCCAACCCCCCAAATACAGTGCTCTGTGTATGTCCTGCCTGCTGGGCTGAGGAAAGACTATGGATGTGTTTTACTTGGTTTTCAATTAATTTTCTTCATAAACATATGGGTGGCTTGAAAAGTAGCTATTTTCTGTTTCTGTTTAAGGCCACCTACTTTTAGTTACGCAACTTACTTTAATACTTTGTACGTGATCTCCTTCACTTCAGTGTCAAACAGCTCCTTGGCAGCGTGTTTAAATACGTGCTCTAGGTAACCATCTGATCTCCTTCCATCATGCCTATTTAGCTCATCTTCTTTTATGCCACCAAACCTGGTAAGTAATAAGGGAAGGATCAAGAGGTGGAAGACTAAGATCACTTGTATAAATGCCAGTCCTGGCCTTTCTCAACTCAGGGCCCCTTAAATATGCCTGATTATAATCTCTGTAATTCCCAGCCATCTCAGGCATGGCTGTTGCTGGCTGAGAATTGTGGGAGCTGTAGTGCAGTGTTTTGGGAGAGTTCTAGATTGGGGAAGGATGCACTGTACACATGCCACTTAACCATAGTCAGGGAACCAAAAACTCTGCCACCCATGGTCATATTACATGGATATGTGTATTTATTTAGCCCTTTGATAGGAATAAACAATTGTTATATATGCACGACCAAATCAAATTTGGAAGGACAGCGCACATATATGAAAAACAATGAAGAAATAGTGATCAACGATAACTGCAGCTATGAATGGTTATCTTGCATACAGTCAGGTCCAGAAATATTGGGACATCAACACAATTCTAACATCTTTGGCTCTATACACCACTACA